GAAGTGACTGGCTTACAAGGGTTCAAGAAGGAGCTTAGTTAAGAGTGTGGGGGGAAAGAAAGAGTCCCCACTGAATAGCTATCATCTTGTCTAGATGGGTCTGGTGAAAGGAGATGGGGATAAGATTCCTAAGATTCAACAGTGAATAACTGTTATCATGACTAATCGCGACTGTCACACTTGTAAAGGTAGAAGTTTTGTAACAAAAAAAGGGGAGTTGTTAATAGTACAGTCCAGAAACAGAGGACCCTAGGATCACCAAGAGAGGAATGCACAAATAAAATGTGGGACCTTATCCAGAGAAGCAGCAGTGCCAGAGATGGAGGCAGATATGGGGGCATGTAGAGAGGGAGCGGCTGAGGATTCTAGATTCATCAACTAAGAACAGAAGGACTAAGAACTGGTGACCAGGAGCAGACTTGCAGAATGTGCCCTTTGGAGATGTAATTTATTATATACGCCTGAGTGGGTTTTTTAAAAAAAAGCTAAAGTGGATAGAGAGAAACACCAAATACTGATGGTATATGGAGGGGATTATAATCAATGTAATGAAACAAGTCATATGAATTGTTGAATGTGAAACTAATGATGTACCCTGTAAAATCCTTAAATTAAAAAAAAAAAAAAAAAAAAGAAACAGGAAATAGACAAAAAAATTACTGATAGAGGAAACTATCTCTCAGTTATCAATTCTACTCTTTCCCTCCTATTAGTAATTGTGGTTGTTGTTGTTAGATGTCGTCGTCAAGTCAGTTCAGACCCATAGCGGCACAGTATAGGGTTTTCCAAGGAGCAGCTGGCAAGGCTGAACCACTAACCTTGCAGTTAGCAGTCCAGTGCTTGTCCTACAGTACCACTCCTGGACTCCACTATTAATAACGTTGCTATTGTTAAGTGCCACCAAGGCCAACTCATATAAATCTGCATAGGGTTTCTGAGGAATAGCTGGTGGGTTTAAACCACCTATCTTGTAGTTAGTATTCTTGTGCGTATCCTACATCACCACACCAGGACTCCTGTATCAGTAACAACAACCCTTAATGTTTAGCTGTGCACATGGCCATTTAATAGTGACTGGATTTCCCAATCTCTCTAGCAAAACTAGGTAATGCTCTGTGACAAAGTTCTTGCCAACAGAAGTTACAGGCAGAGAAGTGATGACTATAATTCCTGGGTCTTACCTTTCAAACATCTGGACATGTATTTCTCATTTTTTCCCATTTGTTGCTGATGAGTCTGATTTGACCATGTTTGATTAATAGGAAATAAATGGAAATAGCTGAATAACCAAAAAAGATGAGCCCAGTATCTCTGAATGATCTTGTAGAACCAGAATCACCTTGTTGTTGTTGTTAAGTGCCCTCGAGTCGGTTCTGACCCATAGCGACCCTGTACAGGCTTTCCGAGGCTGTAAATCTTTATGGAAGCAGAACGCCTCATCTTTCTCCGGCGGAGCGGCTGGTAGTTTCGAACTGCTGGCCTTAAGGTTTGCAGCCCGATTTGTAACCACTACGCTACCAGAGCTCCTTCACTTAACCACCCTAAATTACTAGCCTACTGAATACAAGAGAAAAATAACTTCTGCTATTTTTTGAATCACTGTGTGTTAGGGTCTCTTTATTGCATATTGCAGGACCTAGTCCTGTGTCCTAAGGAAAACAACTGTCTATAAGCAAGGTAAGGCAAAATTTCATCAAGAATAACTTAAGAGCACTCTTTTGTAAAACATTGATGGGCTCTGCAGAGAAAACATTCCGTTATATAAATATATTATATATATACTGTTTTCCCACCCAAGTGTTAGTGAACGACTTTAGTTCAGTTTTGTGAGGCATATCATATAGTTTTAGATCTGTATTGATTCTAATCAGCAGACTCAAATATATTCTAATAGATTAAAAAAAAAAATCTAATAACTATGAGATTATTTTGCTTCCACAGGAGATGTTGTACAAGAACTCTTGAATTTTTACTTCTAAACATTCTCCTGTGCCGGTAGAGTGAAAAAAGTTTTCCTTACCTTGGTTCCTGAGGCTTTTATTTTTTCCACATAATCCCAAACGGTTTGAGGTGATATCCTGCCACCAACCTGAATACTATCTGGCAGATCCTGTAGTAGAAAATTAATGGTGATTATGTATACAGAATTAATATTTATTTATACTATAAGTCAGACAAATTTAGCTTTAAGACTAATTTGAAATGATAATGAAAACAAGTAAATAAAAATATTGTGAAATTTGTTGTTGTTAAATGCTATCGAGTTGGTTCTTACTCATAATGACGCTATATAGGGTTTCTGAGGCTTTTAAATCTTTGTAGAAGCAGAAAGCCTCATCTTTCTCCCAGAGTGGCTGATGGACTCGAACCGGCAACCTTGTGGTTCGCAGTCTCATGCCTATCCTATTGAGCTGCCATGTTCCATTGTGAAATCGATCAGAAAATATCATATATATTAGGATAATCATTAGGTTTTACCTCAAATACCAACTTCAACTGACTGAAGTGGATGCCCAAGATACAGCTATACTAAGAAAGAGACTGAAGTCAGGCCAGATCTCAGTAGGAAAGACAAGCACAGAAAAAGGAAGCAGCAGTAAACACGCAACATTAACAATCCAGGATGGGTACATTAGCTTTCAGAATATTAAGGAAGTAAAGGCCCCACCCCACACCCCTTTTTGTGTGTGTATGTGTGGCAAGAAAGCTGTTAAACCATTAACAGACAAATTTCAGAGATTGCGAAATCTAATTATAAAGTATATTTTTGTACTCTAGACACTGCATAAAGCACATCATAATGTAAAACTACTTTTAAGAAAGCACAATCTTTCTGAAAACAGATGAGCAAGTATATATAAAATCAATTAAGAATTATGCAAGTAAGAACATTAACACAACTGTTAAATATACACACAGAACATTTACCTTGATATGAAAAAATTTTGGCCTAATCCAAAGAAATGCAAACTTTGTTAGCCTTAAAAAACAATAGATATATAAAATACTGAAAAAACTTAAAAACAAAAAATAATAACCTGCCTTCAGAATCACTAGAATAAACACAAATGCTAAAAGTTAATGTTAGATATGAACAGAGTAAACCTCAAAATAAAATATTAACATACATATACATACCTACATAAATATGATACATATACATTGATTAATTTTTCTTCTACACATACAGAAAGACACACATTTTCTTCAAATTACTGGAAAATGTCATACTTTCTGGAGTCCTAGTATGGAATTGTAGGGTAAGCATTGGGCTGCTAACTGCAAAGTCAGCGGTTCAAACCCAGCAGCCACTCCTCAAAAACCCTGTACAGTGATGAGCTGCAACTAACTCAAAGGCACTTAACAATCGTTTACATTCCACTAACACTGCACTAAGAGTTCCTCCCATTCTCTTAGGTATAAAATAAAGGGTATTATTTCAGCAATTAAAATCACAGATCTCATGGGGTTATCAATTAGCTTGTAAAGCTTCAATTTCAGTTTACACTGGAGTTCACAGAAACAGACAAGTGAATTCCATCCTGTACTCCAGAATTAAAGCTGTAAATCTAGGGATACATAAAAAGTAGGCCCACAGTGACCCTGTTTAGTATTTCCGAGGAGCGGCTGGTGAGCCTGAACCACCAACCTTGTGGATCAAACAGATTTTGCAATCCAGTGCATTAACCTACCACACCCATAGTCCATACCAGGACTCCATTCTCTGACATAGTGAGGCAAATACTGGAAAACATGCAATGCAGGGCATGTGAATACAGTTTTTCCACAATTCTGAAATTCATTTTAAAATTCATACTTCCATTAATTAAGCTGTTTAAGAATCACAGAATAGATATATTTATTGTGAACTTCAAAGTTTTTAAAGTATTTTTCCCTGCCTGCTGCATTCAGAAATACACATGGTAGAAATTCACAGTACCTCTGTCAAGTACTCAGGAGAGCCTGACACTGGGTAGGCTTTGGTAACAAATTTTGCCACAGAAGGCATGTTGATAAAACCTTTCCAGATGAAGTTCAAACGAGCCAGGAATGTAGATTCAACCTCAATGGTTCCAGGCATCTCAGGACTAGAAAATGACATTAAAAAATTAGCAGTCATTAGTAAAGGGCAAAGTATGTAAAGATGATTGATTAAAAGCGTTAACATTCTCACTTTACAAAGTTACATTTACTTAGCTGTGTTGTACAAAGTCATCCTACTTGGTTTAAGTGGAATATGGCCCAACAAATATGTATATATTTAATAACCTATTTCCTGTCTCTTGGGACCAACATAGTTAAAAATAATTTTAAAGTCTTTTCTTTATGTACTCAAACCTCTAAATTAACTTTCAGTCTTATTCTTTTCTCCCAATTAGACTAGAGAAAGGTGTATGATACTTTCTCAAAAGAAAGGTTCCTAAGAGATACAGTACTTTTCTTGGTTTTGAAGATCTCCTAGTATAGCTTGCTAAAGATTTATAAATAACTATTATAGAAATTATCACTAAGAGAAAATTACCGTGGAGCAGGAGAGAATGCTGACTTTGGAGACTCTTGCTTCTCATCTTCAAAGAATTCAGAAGCCAAAATAGTGGACGTTGAAGACAATGCATCCGCTATACTTTCTGCTTCATTGTCTGAATGTTTACGAGATACTCCAACAACAACTTTTACTTTTTTTGGAGAAAGATCATCTACAGGTGGTGCCATTCGACCTAAACTCAGAAGACACCAAAATAAAACATTTCTGCAAGGTGTAATTTCTACAGATCTTCACTTTCTAAAGCTATTTTTCAGCTCCCTGAATAAATTTTGAGTAACTATCACTGGACGGCAAGGTTGGTTTGAACTGCAAAGTCAGTGGTTCAAACTCACCAGTTGCTCCTTGGAAACCCAAACCGTATACAGGGTCACTATGAGTTGGAACCACCTCCACAGCACTCAACAAGAACAACAAAACATATTTTTTACTATCATCATTACTCATAATGAGCTGTATTTCATCGTATTTAAGAATCAACAGGGAATTTACTAGAGTCCCACCATCCAGATTTCTATTTTATAAAAGAACCTAACTAAGCTTATCTGAAATGTAATTCATAACATACCTAACAACAGGAATATGTGTGAACTCCTGAGCCCAAAGACACTGAGCCAGCCACTGAAGGGTGAGTTAAGAATGAAGCAGCCAGCTGACCTGAAGAGGAAGGAGGCATGCGAGAAGTCCCAGACTCGCAGATAGTACCCAATGGACCTAGCATGGATGGCTTGCTGACCAGAATTTAGCCAGATGAAGATAAAGAAGTATGATACAGGAAATTAGTGTAAATTGCTACAAACTGATGAACTGGACCCTTGATTATGGATGAGGCTGCCCCAAATTTCAATCGAATAGAGAATTCTTCATATCAAGTATAAAGCATATCTCCTCAGTACACAGGGTTGATAAGGACAGGTAACTTAGACTTCGGCTACCAAAATTGGGGGGCTATAAAGGCAAGAAATGGCTGACGTATAGGCTTTCATGAGGGTGCTTAGTGTCAGAAGAAGGAGAGTAAGAAAGAAACCCTACTGAATAGTTTTCCCCCTGTCCAGATGGGTCTTGGGATGAAGGGGACAGGATTTTATGAATCAATTGCAAGTAATTGCTTTCAGATCTAATGGTGATTGTCACACTGTAAGAGATGCAACTAAAAGGGGGGAACAGTTAATTTGTTATTTCAGGAACAGGAAACACCTATGACCATCAATAGGGAAGAACATGAGAGGAGCAAGGGATCCCAGCCAGAAAAGCAGCAATAACAGAGATGATGGAGGTGATGGCATAACAAACACAGAACCACAGTGGACTATGGCCCACAGACTGAGAAAATCAGTGTGCCTGCGGGCAAGAGGCTAGCTTGCAAAATGTGCCCTTTGGACATCTAAATGAATATATATACATAAAAAAAAAGAAAAAAGGTAATAGAGATAAATACTGTTGGCTAAGGAGCTCTGGTAGCGTAGTGGTTACGGATCAGGCTGCTAACCTCACGGTCAGCAGTTCGAACACGGGAGAAAGATGAGGCTTTCTGCCCCCGTAAAGATTTACAGCCTCAGAAACCCTGTACAGGGTCGCTATGAGTCGGAACCGACTCCACAGCACATAAACACAAGGGTGCATGGAGGGGATTGTAATTATTACAATGATCTGCTGAATGTAAAAATGGCGACCTGCTCTGTAAGCCTTCACTCATTCAATACACAATGAAAGCTTTAAAAAATAAGAAGAAAAAAATAATATAAGGAGTCCTGGTGTGGCACTGAGGGTTAATGTATTAGACTGCAAAGTCAGTTTGAACTGCAGTTCAAGCTCACCAGCCACTCCTCAGAAACCGTATACAGGGTCAGTATGAGCTGGAACCAACTCGACAGAACTTCACAACAACATATATATACTATGCAGAGTGTTACTTATACTTAATCTCCTTTTGTAAATCATTTCACACATATCCTCACATAATTACAAAACAATTAGAAGTAACTGTGTAATGTTGTAAGCTGCTGCCACATCAAATTCACTTCACGGTAATGTGGGCAAAGTAGAATTGCTCTGTAAGGTTTTCAGATATGACCTTTTGGAAGCAGATTATCAGACAGCTTCCAAGGTGCCTCTAGTTGGGTTTGACCCACCAATCTTTTGGTGTAAGTATAGTAGTTAGCTGCTTGTGCCAACTTGTTGCTGTTGTTAAGTGCTGTTGAGTCAATTCTGACCCATAACGACCCCATATAAGGCTTCCAAGGAGCAGCTGGTGAGCTTGAACCACCGAACGTGCAGTTCAAATGACCTTGCAGTCTGACACATTAGCTCACAGCGCCACCTAGAGACCCATAAATATGGAATCAATGAGAGATTTCCTCTCTTACCAATTTGAAAAATTAGGAAAACAGAATGCTAAAACATGTCAGGATAAACTGACACAAAGTGCTATTACTAGAAATCAAAATAAATTTCTTGACAAATATTTTTAAACTAAACTACAACAAATCCCAACAGTCTTGAAAAGTAACTTGAAGAAATGAATAAAGCAAGTTAACTCATGATAATGTATGCACAGCGCAGTACTACTTACTTACAGTTGTTAATACAACTTGAGCAACATTATTGTTATGTGGCATTAAGTCGGTACCGACTCATAGTGACCCTATGCACAACAGAATGAAACGCTGTCTGATCCAGTGACAACCTCACAATCGTCACTATGTCTGAGCCCATTGCTGCTGAAACTGTGTTAATCCATTCTCGTTGGGGTCTTCCTCTTTATCTCTTAACTCTCCACTTTACAAACACAATACACTTCTCCAGGGAACTGGTCCCTCCTGATAATATGCCCAAAGTATGAGAGGTCAAGTTTTGCCATCCTGGCTTCCAAAGAGCATTCTGGCTGTACTTCTTCCAACACAGATTTTTTTTTTTTTTATTCTTCCAGCGCATATTTGTTACGAACTGGGCTGTCAGCCTCAAGGTCAGCAGTTTGAAACTACCAGATGTTCCGCAGGAGAAAGATGAGGCTTTCTGCTCCTGTAAAGATTTACAGCCTCAGAAACCCTGTACAGGGTCACTATGAGTCAAAACCAACTCTACGGTAAACCACCTCCACAGCCAGGCCACGGTACTTTTGATATTCTCCTCCAACACCATAACTCAAATTCTTCTACGGTCTTCCTTACTCACTGTCCAACTTTCATGTACATATGAAGTTACTCAATGTATCATGGCATGGATCAGGAGCACCTAAGTCCTCAAATTGACATCTTTGCTCTTTAACACTTTAAAGACATCTTGTGCAGCAGATTTGCCTATGTAGTTTGATTTCTTGACTGCTACTTCCATAAGTGTTGATGACCGATTAAGCAAAATGAAGTCTTTGACAACTTCAATCTTTTATCCATTTATGTTGATGTTGTTTACTGGTCCATTGGTGAGGATTTTTGTTTTCGTTACATTGAGGTGCAGTCCATACTGAAGGCTGTGGTCTCTGATCTTCATCAGTAAGTATTTTAAGTCCTCTTTGCTTTCAGCAAGCAATGTTATATCATGTGCGTATTCCAGGTCGTTAATTAGTCTTACTCCAACTATGATGCTATGTTTTTCTTCACATAACCCAGTTTTTTGGCTTATTTGCTCAGCATGTAGACTGAGTAAGTATGGTGAAAAAGAATACAACCCTGGTACACACCTTTCCTAATTTTAAACCATTTGGTGTTCTCTTGTTCTGTTTGACTAGCATTCCAACATTAATAAACTTTAAAAGAAAGTGAGTGAAAACACAGGGAGAAATGTAAGCACTAAAGGGATAGAGGTTGTTGTTGTTGTTAAGTACCACTCAGTTGGTAAATACTATTATATACACAAGCCTGCAACAATAGTGTTGTATGGGCAGATACACAGACTGAAAGGGTATGGGAGAGAAAGTGTAAGTGTATACCCACAAATATATAAGAGTTTAACAGAGGACATCAGTACATGGATATTTAACTTTGCTGCAAACACACCTATGAATATGATGGAGCACAGATGAGACAAAATGATGAAAACTTCTTACCATTACTTAACATTACCAAATACCTTAAGACAATGAGTTGCTGGACCTGGGGGCTTAGGACCATAGTTTCAGGGGACACCTTGGTCAACTGGCATAACACAGTCCACAAAGACAATGTATTAACATCCTTTTTTGGTGAATATCAACTTGGATCTTTTGTAGTTCATGAGCAGCCATCTAAGCTGCCACTATTAGTATCTCCATGTGCAGAAGAAAAAAAGGGTGATGAAAACTGAAGATATTTGGAATCAACTAGTCCAATGGACTAACAGAACACATGAAAATCAGTCTCCATGACTCAGAGACCAGAAGAACTAGATAATGCCAGACTCTACCAACTGCTCTGGAAGTGACATTAGAAGGTCCCAGATAGGGTAAAATGTGGAACAAAATACAAAATTACAAAAAAAGACCATGCTTACTGGTTGGAAAAAGAATAAAGGAACCCAAAACTATGGCCATCCTTCAGGTCTGAAATGAAATTCACCCGCATGGCCCAATTTTCAGCCAAGTGGTAGACAGGAGTATAGGGGGACAACAACACTAGTAAAGTCTGCTCATCACAGAACTGTCAACCATTTAGGATCAGAAAGGCAATATTTACCTGAGGACAAAGTTCAGAAAGGTTGGGAAAGAGGGAGGAAATCACAACCACAGGGAGGAAGTAGGACACCTACTGTTACATGGAGGGGATTACAATCAAGATGAAAAAAAAGTGAATGATTTGTTGAATGTAAAACTGATGATGTACTATGTAAACCTTCACTCAATGTATAATAAAGAAGTTTTAGAAAAGAAAATGACACTGGTTTTAAACTATAGCTTCAAGAAGGAAAAGAATGACACAAATTTTCTGAAAATCTAGTAGTATTTAACAAATGTTCTGTTGTTGTTGTGTGCCATGGAGTCAGTTCCGACTCATAGCGACCCTCCACAGGGTTTCCGAGGCTGTAAATCTTTACGGGAGCAGAAAGCCTCATCTTTCTCCCACGGAACAGCTGGTAATTTCGAACTGCTGACCTTGCAGCTTGCGGCCTGATTCGTAACCACTACGCTACCAGAGCTCCTTTGTGTACTATCATTAAATTTATTGAAATGTTACTGTAAAATGATTAAAATTATATAAAAATAACTATAAGCATTTTTATTCACCTCTTCCCCAGAAAACAACTATCTGCGTATGCTTTTAAAATCCTATAGCCCAGCTGATATGAAGTGAGGTGAGATGCACAAGAATGGCCAAATATGCAGCCAGTACCCATTTGACCTAGCTTCAATGGCTTGATGATCAGAACTCGACTAGAGGAAGATTAAAACAAAAATTTTGTGATAAAGGAAACAAGTGTAAATTGCTACAATTTGATGAACTTGACCTATACTTATGGATGTAGTAGCTCAAAATACCAAACGAGAGGGACAGAGTCTTCACAACAAGGATCAAACATATCCCCTCTGTATACAGGGTTGATAGGGATAAGCAACTCAGACATAGGCTACCGGCTGGCTTATAAGTTTTCAAGAGAGAGTTTAGTTTCAGAGTGCAGGTGAAGGTTGAATCGTCACTGAATAGTGTTCATCTTGATTAGATGGGTCTGGTGAAAAGGAGATGGGGATAAGATTCTTATGATTCAACAGTGAGTAATTGTTACCATGACTAATTGTGATTGTCACAATTGTAAAGGCAAAAGTTTTTTAACATAAAGGCGGGAGTAATCTTACATTCCAGGAACAAAGGACTCTAGGACCACCAAGAGTGAAAAGCATGAAAGGAATGTGGAGCCCTATCCAGAGAAGCAGGGACACCAGAGATAGAGGCAAAGATGATGAGATGACATACAGAGCAGCTGAAGACTCTGACTTGTGGAAAGAGAAAGGCTGTGTGCTTGCAGCCAGGAGGCAAGTCTTGCAGAATGTGCCCTTGGGTTGTTTAAGTGATTATATATTTCTGAGTGTTTTTGTGTACATAAAAAAAAAAAAAATCCCAGAGGGAACAGAAGCAAATACTGTTGAATGGTGGTGCATGGAGGGGACTGTAATAATTGCAATGATATGAAATACTATAGGATGATTGCAAAACCGATGTTCTCCCATGTAAACTATCACTCAATGCACAATAAAAGGTTGAAAAAAAATATTATAGCACCATGGATAATTTTCTTTAGGGATAATTATTACTCTCCAGGATCACTATTCTTCTTATTCTCTTATGTTTATATACATTTTCTATAATATGTGAACATAATTTTCAGAATGTTAATGAAGGTTGTTGATAGCATTCTAAAAATTATGTTCACATATTATAGAAAATGTATATAAAGGCAAAGATTGAAAATTTTCAGGATGCTATCAACTACATTCATTAAAGGAGTCCTGGTGTAGCACTGTGGATTAATCAACTGGACTGCAGTGTCAGTTTGTACTGAGTTCAAGGTCACCAGTCACTCCTTGGAAACCCTATACAGGGTTGTTATGTGTCGCACCTAACTCAAAGGCACTTAACAACAACTTTCATTAACAGGAAATTTACTTCATTTATATTTCATTTATTCGCTAGCATAATGATGAAAGGTAACCTATCAACTAACCTACAGGATTTTTCACGTTACGGAACAAAGTATGTCTCAACAAATCAATCAACTGAATATAAATTAGAACTCATCTATAACATATCCCTAATTTCTTATATGAAATTCCAGCCAATCATTAAAACCAGTCAATACTACCTAATTTGTGTATCCCACAGCCTCTACCATTTTAATTATCATCTCCCACTTGGATTACTATAATGGCCTTCTCTATCTAGTCTCCCACTTTCACTCTTGGTTTCTTCTAATACAAGAGTAAGTCAAAAAAAAGTATTAGTAAAAAAAAAAAAAAAAAAAAACCTTTATAAAGCAAAAATAGCAAAATCTGAAAAAGAGGAAGACTCCAAAACAAATGGACTGACACCATGGCAGTAAGGGGCTCAAGTGTAACAACTGTGAGGATGGTGCAGGACCAGGCAGTGTTTTGCTCTGTTGTGCATAGGGCCACTATGAGTTGGAACCAACTTGACAGCATCTACCAACAGCAAACAATTGTTTCTTGACATATCCTCCATGTAAGTCTATACACTTCTGAAGAAAATGGTGCTTCCATCTCTATAATACTGCCACCAAGAATTCTGTGCTCTCCATTCACACCATGTCAAACCAGCAGTTTGGCATCCTCAAGGGATTCAAATTCTGTCCCTTTTAGATATTGAGTCTGGGGAACAAACAGAAATCTGAAGGGGTAAGATTAGGGCAGTAGGGTACATGGGGTAAAGTTTCCCAATAAAATTCTTATAGAACAGCTCTTGCTATCCTCGAAAAAGGAGAAGAGGCATTGTTGTGATGGGAAAAAATTCTTCAGCAAAAGTTTCCTGGCCTTTTTTCATTCAATTTATTGTGAATTGAATGAAGGTTTATAGACAAGATCATCAGTTTTATATTCAACAAACCATACACACTGTTTCATGTCAGTGATTGCAATCCCTCCCATTCAACAAGTTATCTTACTTCCTCCCTGTAGTTCCTATTTCCATTCCTCCCACCTTCTCAACTTTGTTCTTCACCAAAGTAGATTTCTACTTTCTTAAAACTTCTTCTTAATAAGCTTCCGTGATCATCCTGCATCGTTTGAGAAAATCTATCAAGATAATCCTTTTGGAAACCCCAAATAACAGTCACTATATCTTCTGAGTTGACCTCCCTGCTTTGAATTCAAACCACCCAGCAACCCCTCATTAGCCACTGTACTGTAATTTTTAGAAGGCACCCTAATGAGACAAAGACAAGTAAATTACTGAGAGAACTTGTCTGCAGTCATCCACTGGCATCAGTTTAAACATGTTTTGTTTGGAATAAACCAAAGGATGTACATATAAACTGGAACCTATTAGTAATATGTTTTGATTTGTTGTTGTTAAGTGCATAGGGTTCTGAGGAGTGGCTGGTGGGTGTGAACCACTGACCGTGCAGTTAGCAGTCCAGTGCTTATTCTTCTTAATCTCATATAATCTCTACTAAAATTTCCAAGGATTTTCATAAAATTTCAATCTATGTTACTTACCGTATTACCTGCTAAAAACCCTCCAATCACAATCAACTGCTCTTAGATAAAATTATCCAAATCTTTTATATAACCTACAAAAGTAGCTCATAGCTTTTGATCATGAATATTTTATATTACAGCCCATTATATATACATATACAAACACTCTGTCATATATATGTGTGCCTACAAAGACAGAGGAAAAGACCATTCTAGTTACTACAAATGGCATGAATTTGGGATGAATTCAGGAATAGGAGAAAGTACATGATTATCAAAATTTGTACTGTCGTATAGTCACTGTTTCACAAACTTCACATTATGACTCAACAGTTAGCAGTGTCCACCAAACCAATACTAGGGAAACAAACATCTACTCAAAATTATAAATAATGGTAAGCAAACACAAGTATCCCAGTTTTGAAGTTAAGGTAACATTTTAGGAAGAAAAATTTCTAATTACCTATGCAAATTTTACAGTTAAGATCAAAAAGATGCTGTCTGTGTTGACTAGTGGTATCTTTAGACATGAGGTCAATCTCCTCTTTCTGTTTTTCAGATTCTTCTATTTTCTCCAATGACTTGTTAGCTGTAGGTTCCTAACACAAAAGAGAGTAAAATTTACTTTAGCTGATAAATTTCACCTCAATTTACAAAAAAGTAATTATAAACTGAGGCCAGACTACTCTACTTATAAGTTGTTTTTATTATTTCTTCAAAAAACAAATTCTAGATATTATGATTTTAAACCAAGTAGAAACTCAAAATTCTCTTCATTCTCCAAGACTTCTAACAAGATTTCAGATTATTTTCTCACTAGTATGTGAAAATAAGAAAACACAGAACGTAGTTTGAGAGCTGGTACAGCGTTTATTATTTTCAAATACTAGCCAGAAAATAATACCTACAGATTTCTAAGCCTACAAAAGAAGTTCATGAAATCACTGAAAGACTCCAGGAACCTGTATTTACTAAGTGTTTAGCAGGTATCTGTGAAGCAGACAGTCTGCATACTGTGTGCAACCTAAATACATTCAGAGAAAGAGTAAACAGTTTAAAAAAAATAATAATAATAATAAAGCAGTCTATTTTAAAATATAGACTTCATCAAGCAAATAAATCTTGTCTTACTCTTCAACTTTAGAACACTATAAAACATGACATTCTTTATCTTTACCTGAATTTCCATGGCAGCTTCCTGCTCTTTCATTGGAGCATCACTCTCAATTTCTATTTCACCTTTATGAGTTATTTTTGTGATTGGTCGTCTTTCAACTTCTCTCTGCTCTTTCTCAATCATTTCTATGGTCTAAGAGGAAATATTTTAAAATGGATATTTCACAATTTAAGAATTTACATATCCAACTGTACAACTTTAAATAACGTTAAGCGCTTTATCTGTGATAAACAATAATCACAGATGGTTTTCTCATATCTTGAAAACAAGAATCTACTGAGTGCTTATATATGACAGGTATTGTTTTATGTGGTATGGATGCCAAGAATGAGGACCTACAACTCAGCCATCAGAAGTTCATACATATATTATCAGGTGGCAATTAAAGTGCAATGTTATTGTCAAAGTGATGAAACATGGGATTTATATTTAAAACTTGCTTTCTGATTTGTGTTCCTTAGTAGTAGAACAAAAGAAATGAGATATATGTTGTTTTTAGGTTCTACACTTGATAATCTATCACCTCCCAAAATAGCTCCACAGGACATAACCACCACCACTCAAACATAAATTACAGGTATCAATTGTTTCCTGGCTGAGTTTGCATAGTAGTAGTGATAATTCACAGCTGAATAGTCTCAGCAACAAAACACAAAAAAGAAGGAAATATGAGACTTCCATCAAGATGGCAGACTAGGCAGATGCACTGCATGGGCCCTCTATAACAAAAATATGAGAAACCAAATGAAATAGACACAGAGAACATTCTGGAACCCTGAACTTCAGAGGAAATGTTAGAAAAGGGGGTTCAGTATTTGCTGAGAGCAGAAGCTGAGGAGGAACAGTGAGAGAGGGAGACTGACTAGTGAATGGCCAGACAGATCTTGAACTTTTGTGAGCAGCTTTGGGGACAGAAGGTGGCCTGACACAGTAGAGTCACACAAGCGATAGGATGTGTGATTCTATCTTTTTTGCCACATTCCATTGGGACCAGATGTATGGCCAGCTTCCACCTTTATCTACCCCCAGCACAGATCTCGTTCCATGGGAATTCAGAGCCACGTTACTGTACAATCTGTGTTGAATTCCCTCTATATAACTTCCCCCATGGCTGAAAACTATGGGTTATGATAAAGTCAAACATGTATTTACAGAAAATCTTACATGTCTGTTTTCTCTTCGTCTCCAAGCAGCTAACTCTTTAGAAGCTAGTTCTTCTGGACTCATTCTTATAAGATGATCAGGGGTTACTTCTCCTTTCAGTACTTTTTTAAATAATATCTGGAAATGTTTAACAATGAGAAGAGACTAAGATTTGAAAAATGAACAGGAACTACTGTAGAGAAATTTGTAATAATCAACATGTAATTTTGAAACCTGACTTACAGATGTTTTATATTTTATGTACAAGATGGCTTCAAAAAGTTTGTGGAATTTTTCCATTAACTTTTAATTCCATTTTTCCAGAACTTTTTGAAGCCTCCATTTATTTATTACCTGCTGTACAAACAATAAATGGCAGCCTTGTGTTCTAAAAAATGTATCATCTAAGGCAGACAAAACATATATTTCATAAAAAACAAACAAACAAACAAAACCCACATAATAGAAAAGCATGCATAACGGAACCACTATAATGACTATTCAAAAGTTTTACTAAGTCTGGGCAAACTTTGACCATCACAATAAACTATCTATAATATAGCAAGGTATTGCCTAAAAGAGTTTGACTGAATGCAATGCCTTTCATAATTAAGAAATTTTTTTTATATATTCAAATTCTGATCGTTTTGGAGGGGATCCTAGATCAAAGAACCAACTGTAAGAAAGAAATCTAAAGGAAGAAAAGCTTCAAAATTATTTAATCAAGAAGTATTTGATCCTTCTGAACCATGATGGCAGATATTGCAACTTATTTTACTTCAGCTGTTGTTAGGTGCAGTAATGTCAGTTCTGACTCATAGTGACTATGTATACCATAACACAACACTACCAGGTCTGTCTTATGCCATCCTCACAATCGTTGCTATGTTTGAGCACATTGTTGCTGTCACTGTAAAATCCATCCCACTGTGGATCTTCCTCTACTTTACCAAACAACACCTCCTCCAGGGACTGATCCCTCCTAATAACTTAAGCTTGAGAATTAATGTACCTCATATTGCACGTCCTAACAAATACCACTGCATAATTTTCAAATTTATGTCACTTATGTGAAAACCTTATATTGCTGAAGCATATATGCCAGAGATTTCCATCCAATTATAACTATTACTTAAGAGTCTTCTGTAGCAAACACTCCTATTGGGCCAAGGTAAAGTTTGCATAAAGGAGATCAATTGTGCTCTGAACTCTTAAAATGTTCATTAGCAACAGTTTTGTTTATTGAACTAATCAAAGGCCTACTTTTGGTACAGACAGGCACAAGTGCACAAACATACACACAACTTCCATACGATAAATACTGGACTATAAACCATGAGGTCAGCAGTTCAAGCCCACCAGCCACTTGGCAGAGAAACATGAGTCTTTCTGCTCCAGCAAAGGTTTACAAGCCTCGGAAACTCTATACAGAGTGGTGACTATGAGTCAGACAGCACTTAATAACAAGTCAAAAACAAAAAATTCCAGGAAAGATTTGGGGTTTAATTAATGTTTATTCCATTAAAAGATATGCAGAATTCAAGGGACTTAATAGTCAACGGGCATAATACAGTCCACAAAGACAATGTTCTACATCCTGCTTGGGTGAATAGCGTCTGGATTCTTGAAAGCTCATGAGATGCCATCTAAGATGTAGCTATTGGTCTCTCCATGTGCAGAAGGAGAGTGATAATAATTGAGATGTTTGGAATCAGTTAGTCCAATGGACTAATAGAAAATGTGACCATCAGTCTCCACAATTCTGAGACCAGAAGAACTAGATGGTGCCTGGCTGCTCTGAAAGTGATCACATTAGAGGGTCCAAGATAGAGTGGGAGAAACTGTGCAACACCACTCAAAATTACTGAATAATAATGATAATACCGGGTTTACTGGTCAGAAAGAGACAGGAAGAATCGAAGACTATGGAACTCACACTTGTAGTCCAATTTTTAGCCAAGCAGTGGATAGGTTGGGGGGCGGGAGGGACACGACAACAACACTAGCAGGGTGTGCTCACCATGGAATGGTGGATCATTCAAAACCAAAAGGGCAACATTTTCCTAAGGACAAAGTTGAGAAGGGATAGGACCTGTGGGTGGAATGCAAATAACTACAGGGATAACTGCTGTTGCAGGAAGGGGATTATAATCACTGAGATGAAACAAAGTGTGTGATTTATTAAATGTAAAGCTGATGATTTTATCTGTAAACCTTCACTGAATTCACAATAGTTAAAAAAAAAAAAAAGAACTAAAGTTACAATTTAATAAAAATGTTTTAAAGTATTTTCCCTTTTTAACTAAATGCGATTTAGTTTCTTTCAGCTCTACAGTCATACTCAAGTCAAAAATAATTATATATTGTTACAAATTTTTGTTTAAGAGTTTTGTAGGAATACATACATTAAGATATTAAGATATACACTCCTCACTTATCGACATGGTTAGGTTCTGAAGACCAACATGGTTAGGTTCCAAAGACAGTATCATTATACACAAATTAGCATTATGTGAAAATGCAGATGACCACATCAGATAACAAAAGAGAAGATGGCTACATCTAAGAATCATGAACCAGTCAAGCTGACACACAACCTTAGTCATCACAGCCTCAACATCTGTTACATTAATATGCAAAATAGTTGGATTAGTAGGTTTTATAATATTATCACAAATGTGAAATGTTAGATAATGAGAGTCACTAAGTAAGGAATGAATATGCATTTAAAAAAAGAACAGTCAAGAACAGAAAATTTTAAATTTACAAATATCACGTTAAGAAATATTTAGTATTTCACTTAGATTTACTGTGTAATACTGTTCACTATGATACAGAATTCAGTCTGATCAGTAGAAAAAGAAATTAAAATTACACGTTTTAATTGCAAAGGTAATTTTATAGTCTCATCCCAAGAAATGATACAGATCTATTATATGACATTCTTGGATCCCTGCATATTCAGTAAAGTTTGAAGTATAAACATGCATTGACATGAACAAAACATACTTACATTGTTTTTAGGATCTTTCAGATTAAACATTAAACTTCTGTATTTGTTCTTATATTTAGCATCTGTGTCCCGAAAAAAAGAGAAGAGTTCTTTTTCAATTTTTGTGGCAACTTTTGCAGCCTTTTCTTCTGGCACCTTCAAATTTGAATCTGTAAGTCTTAACATGAAAACAATTCAATTATTTTTCAAACATTTGAAGAGCATATATTATTCAATCTTATATAATAATAATCTGTTACCTTTTCATAAGAATGTCTTTGAGAGAATGTCTGACACTTTGTCTGATCTGATCTGCAGAAGGCTTAGAAGCAGCAGCAGTAGGTGGATGCACATTAGCCACTGCCCCTTTATCAACTTTCTTCTTTTTTATCTCTTGCTTCTCATGAGTACCTAATTTAAACAAATGTCAAACTCATGAAACTATAAAAAGTTATGTTCCCAATATACGGCAAAAGCTATAAACAAAATTAACTAAAAGTCACTAGAAATGAGATCAGAATCAATTTTCATATTAAAATATCTGACATGGAAATTACTAAATTACTCAAGTGTCCCTAAAGCAATAAATATATGTACTGTTTTCCGATTTTAGATAACATCTTTCAGAGGTGGCTACTTTTCAGATATGCATATTAACTTAAAAACAGCAATTAAAAAAAATTTCATAAGCTCTTACTAGTTGTACTAGTTGGGCAGGTAATTTAAATGACTTTACTAATACTCCAGATGCCAATCTCAATAGTTAAAAAATGTTCTCATTCCAATACTTAAACATTTCTCAATTCAAATAACTTTTTAAATATTTTCAAGGACTCATTTACTCACATACCCAACTAAGACTGATGAGTCTAACACTATTACCACTTTCTTGCACACTTTATTACCATTAATTCCCCTCTAAATAATTGTGTTGGCAAAACCATACTCGGTAAAAGTCAACTTACATCCTTCATCCAAATAGGCTACACACAGCTGAAGGAGACTAGACAAAAAAAAAGCACCACAAGCCTTAAAAAGGCATCTGAATCTACTGTCCAAATCTTATTAATTTTCCTAGTAAGTCTGTTCTCCCACTTTCAAGGAATCTATCTTTTACTTCTTTTTTTAAATCAACAGTATTTCCTCCTCAAACTTCAACCTCAGTTGATTGATTCTTCTCACTCACTGCAGAAAATTGCCAGTTATCACATCTTCCTGCCACCAAATCTAATAACCTACCATCCTTTCTACCACATAGGAGAGCTTCAAAATGTCTGTGGAAAAATTCCATTATTTTTATTAACTTTTGAAGTCCCCTCATACAGTTTTCTTTCCTATTAAAATGGATAATGTCCCCGCTCTATCACCAAAACCTCCATGTGGAGTACATCTCATCTTAGGTCCTCATGAATTTTACTGTTCAGCTATCAACTCTCTATCCTGCATTATAAATTTCTCCCTCTATACTGGATCATTCCCTTCTGTCTTATGGTGGTGGTCTGTCTTATAAACATGCTATACCAAAAAAAGTTCTTTGACCCCCAAAAGTTCTTAAAGCACCTCTGGTAGCGTAGTGGTTATAAGTCAGGCTGCTAACCTCAAGGTCACCAGTTTGAAACTACCAGACATTCTGCGGAAGAAGATGAGGCTTTCAGCTCCTGTAAAGATTTGCAGCCTCGAAAACCCTGTAGGAGTCGGAACTGACTCCACAGCACATAACCACCACCACCATACAACAAAACTCTTTAAAAGAATTATCTGAAATCAATACGTGCAGTTTCCTCCCTTCCATTCTTCCATAAGGCACTACAATTGGTTTTTGTTCACACTGCCTTTCCCTCAAAACCATTCTAGTCACCACTGGTCTCTATAAGCTAAGTCACAGATTACCAATCTGTGTTAATAATAGATGGCTAAGCAACATCTGACTCAGCTGACCATTCCTCCTTCTTGAAATCTGACCTGATTTCTGAGTTACGTAATCTCGTGGTTTTCCTCTTATTTCACAAACCACCTTTTTGTCTCCTTTGCTGGATCTTCTTTTCTTCCCAACTGCAAGGGTTGTTTCTGACTCTTCACTACTGAACTCTCTTTACAGATGTTTACATCTAGGTCCATGATTTTAAATCACAACTATGTTCTTATAAATCCCTAATTTATTAACATTCACCAGTCTTCTCTAAGCACCAAGCTCATCAGTCAAGGGTTGTTTACTCAAACAACTCCAATGGAATTTCAATATACATACTAATGTTAAAATGACAATACATCTTCAAGTTTTTTCTCCTCTAATTTTCTCTCTCAGTTCTTCTTATCTTAGTAAATGGCACCAACTTTTGCCTAATCATCCTCTAAGATTTTCATCGCTCTACAGCTAATCCATAAGCAAGTTTTTATCAGTTCTACTTAGAAAACATATTTAAATTTCACTTCTACTTTCACTGTACCTGTAGTCTAAACTACCACTTTTCTTTCTTGAGACACTACAACAGAATCCTAATTGATTTATCTACTTTTTCTCCTACCCCTCTTCACAATCTCTGAATTCATCTTCTACCACACTATCCTACATGTATTATCTGTCACTATGGCACTGTGGGCTAATGAGTCAGATTGCAAAATCATTTGAACTGCAAGGTCGGTGGTTCAAGCTCACCAGCTGCTCCTAGGAAACACTATACAGAGTTGCTATGGGTCGGAATCGACTCGACTGCACTTAACAACAACAACCTCTCTCAAAAGCCAAGATAGTTTCTACCACAAAGCCTACAAACTTATGCTCCCTCTCAAGTCCCTCTTCCCAAAAAACTTTGCATCTCTTCAAATCTCACCTCATAAGTGAACTCCTGCTGGTGCACAGGTGTGCTGTATTATAACTGCTTCCCAATGTCTCCATAGCTACTAATAGACAGAATAGCTACTAATGAATGTAATGGACTCCCAGTGGGGCGCTATAGAATAAACACTGGACCGCAAACCACAACGTTGGCAGTTAAAACCCACAAGCTGTTCCTCAGGAACTCTATAGGCTTGCTAAGAATTCGGAACCAACTCAACGGCAAAAATAACAACGAAAATAAAATTTCTCTCTTAGAGGGAGATGACTGCTGTATGAGAGACCCAAAACATTTACAGTCTTAATGGAATAAAGGAGGAAGGACTGTTCACTAATGCTAGTAAATCTAGAATAGCGATCAGGAAAAGGTTACATACCATGAGCAGGGGACAATGGGTACCGTCCTTGCCTTCAAGGGCACCTTCTCCTTTTACTATCCCCTTCCTCTATTCTCTTTCTGTGCATGCTGTTTGGCTTGTAATCATTGGAGCCTGACAGTACAATAACCCAAGAGAGAGGGACTTCTGAGTTCCTCACCCTGATGCAAAGTGGGGCACAGTTGAATGTAATCCTAAAATCTCATCATGGAACAGGAATCTAATTTTCACAGAACCTTGACTGTTGATGATGTTTACTGTTCAATTTATCCCTGTCCTGTTTATTCTGTGAATAACAAACACCTGTTGATCACACATTAGAACTGTGTCTGGTCTGTGTTCTGCTCAGAATGGTTCTTCACACCCGGAACTTGTGAATTCAGTATACTGCACCTCCTACAGTTGATCTAAAACAGAAATTCCCACTCCTTCCCATGACAGTAACTCTATCCCATTACTTTTTCTTCAAAAACCTAAATTCTCTAAAATACATACCCTTTTTATGGCCAAATTACTCTTTTCACATTAGTATTTGTCATGAAGGCAAGAACCTTATCTTATGAAGTTCATCAACAAGTTATTACAACAGCATAAAGCAATAGTTTTCTAGTTCAAGTAAGGGCAAACACCTCAATTATTTTTATTGCCATTTTAAAAAAGTACTCGTTTTTTTTTTTAATTCCCTAAATATATTAATAGATTATGCATGATGTAAAATATAAACATATTAGCTAATTTACTTTAATCTCACAGCCTCATTTCTGTAGGCACCCTGTGCCATTGCAGGATAAGCACTAGACTTCTAACTTCAAGGTTGGCAGAGTTCAAACCCATCAGCCACTCTGGGAGAAAGATGAGGCCTTTTGCTCCCATAAAGATTTAAGGTCACTATGAGTTGGAATCAATTTAGTGCTAATGATAGAATATTTTACCTGGTTTTGAAGGTTTTTCTCCTGTGCAAATAACAGTTGTAGACTCTCTTGTTATTTTTTCACTTTTTTCATCTGAGGATCGCCGAGGTAAAACTGCTTGTCCCATCTTTCGAACAGGAGCTAGCTGCCATTTTTTAATTTCACTATCTCTACATTCTGATGAGCTTTTGCTTTCACCAGATTCCTGGAAAACAGTAATATTATTCATTAAAACAAAAGCTACCTTTAAATATAAACCAAGCATCAAGGGTATGTGGATGAAAAAAATTAAACATAATATTAAAAACAATTATGGTATCAAATTTTATTCCTTAGGCTAGTAACTGTTAAAAGGATATATGAAAACAGCTCTCAATTACCAGCAAAAAGATAGACACTTTTACTAAAAAAAAATTTGCTAAGCATCTGTTTTATGCAATACCATACTTGGAGTCCTGGTGTGGCACTCTGGGATAAAGCCCTGGAACACAACATCGGTCTGAACCACAAGGTAAGTGGTTAAAACTCACCAGTTACATCCTGGAAACTCTATGAAGGGTCACTATGAGTTGGAAGCGACTAGAAAGCACTTAACAACAACAAACTTAGCACAAAGATAGACCTCAATAAAGGATTCAACATAAAATCCATCAATAAGATGTGACATTTGAAAAGCAGATTTCAAAAACTAAAGCAAGACAAATCTCAGTAAGATTTAACAGTCCATCATTAAAAAGAAAGGAAGAAGTAATTACTTGAATGTGGCAAGTATTGAAAAATTAGACTACTCTCAAATGCTTTCCTAATATTAGATGCTAGAATAGTAAAGAGAATGGCTTCTCAAAATGCAAAAGGTTAACCGTGTTACTATGTTAGTGTCTTTTTTGGCAAGATGGAAACCCTGCACTTATTGACAATATAACAATGGTTTAAAGGTCAATAAATTATAGATAGGAAGGGTAGATTAATGATAAATTAAAGCTTTCTAAGGCATGCTGAAGACTGTTCTCAAGAGAGCTCTCAGATCCACATTATCAATTTGATGCTAATCAACAAAAATGTTGTTCCTGTTCAGTGCCTTCAAGTTGGTTCCAACTTATAGGGCTTCCAAGGAGCAACTGGTGGGTTTGAACCATCAACTGTGGTTAGCAGTCTAGTGCTTATCCTATAGTAGACTCCAAAAACAGATATTGCAATAGTAAATATTAGAAGGATAGAATTTGACACTCAAAATCTCTTGTAAGAAAGAAAATGTTGGGCAGCAAAAGGATTTTGGCAAACTGGTGCTTAATCCCTAAGATTTTTCATGTAAGGAATGTCTGAAATAAAAGAATTTGTAAATAATGTAGAAAATATATTCATGTCCTTCAAATTAAACTACCTCACCTATGTAATTGAGAGACTTCAGAAAACAGGAAAGTTTTCAGGTATACAAATTTCAGCTAAAATTGAACAACTTTCCAACAATGACAGATATGACTGAAAATTAAGATGCATGTATTCTCTTGCAATGGTCTTCAAATAGAATATAAATCATCACTACTACAAATATGTAACAGCATATTAATAAACCAGAATGGTTGAACCAAAATATTTCCAAGGTTCTTTGCAATTCTGAAATTCAAGTTTTGTTTTTTGGATTATAATACCTACATATCCACATAAATTTGTTACCATTGTGTTTCATTCCTAGCACTTTTTATAATCAACCAGAGTTTTGGTATTGTTCTGTAGAAAAAGCACTAGACTACTAACCACAAGATCCACAGTTCAAAACCACTAGCTACTCCTTGGAAACCCTACTACAGGGTCGCTATGAGTTGGAACTGACTCGACAGTACTTAACAACACAACAAACAAGGAAAACAAAGTAATGATTATAAAAATCATAGGTAGTAAAAGGCAAACAACAAAAACAAAATTTAATCCCATAAAATGTTTGTCCTTTGTATTTTTCTCCTATTGTTGTTGTTAAGTGCCATCAAATCAGTTCTAACTCACAGTAACTCTGTATAGCGTTTCCAAGGAGCAGCTGGTGAGTTTAAACTGCCACTCTAGCTCATATAAGATATTAAATATCCTGACATTTCTAATTAGAAGACACTTCCAGAAAATAGTTAAAAATATAAAGCCAGGAAAAACGGCTAACATTTAAGGGTCCACATTTTAAGAAAAAAATTTATGAAGTGAAAGCTCAGAACAAATACTGCAACAAGGGTCAAAAGAATTGAGACTGCTTTTCCTTACAGAGAGAAAATATTCTCCTACTTAAAAATAGTACCACAAAATGTGTTAATAAGAATTGGTAGAGATTAACAGGCTACAACACTTTTTGAAAAAATGTTATCAGTGTATATCCTAGAGAAATAAGAGCCATGATACAGATACATGTACACCCAGTTCCTCATAGCACCCATAGGCAGAAACACCCATCATCAGATGAATGGATAAACAAACTATGGTTTGTGTTCCATATATATCATGGTATACTAAGCAATGTTAAAGAATAGTGAAAAATCCACGAAACATCTCATGTCATTAATCAACATGGAGGACAATACGCTGAATGAAGAAAGTTAATCAAAAAGGAAAAACACTGTATGAGACTATGATTTTTTTAAAGTCAAGAAAACTTTTATACACAGAAAGAACATTCTTTGACCGTTACCAGGAATTGGTAGGTAGGAGTAGGACAAATTACTAATTAGCAGGGATACATGTTAATGGTAGTGAAGGGAAATGCAATATATATTCAGTGGCAGGGCAACACAACAGATCAATGGCAAAGCAAATCTTTGAGACGTCCACAAGAGTAAATGAGAACAAAGGTGAATAACAGTACATACACAATCTTGCAATAGTAATAATGAACATCCACGAGTAGTTAACAGATAGATATGTAAGCCGAACATAAGTGGGAAGGCAAACAGGAGTATAGATGCCAGTATACATGGGGCTTCAAAAAGTTCATGGAAAAAAATCCTATTATCTTCTAATTCCATTTTCCACAAATTTTTTGAAGCTCCCTCATATACAAGAAGTTTGTTGCTATTAAGTGCCATTGAGTCAGTTCCGTAACAAGACCTAAATATTCCTTCTGAACATGTCATGACACAAAGTTTCACCAGGGTGCCAAAGAATTTTAAATAAAAATCCATGCATTTTTATGGAAAAATGAATCACAAAACAAACACAGAAATCTGAAAATTTAGCATCAGTCCATATACATTTCTTAAATAACAAAATATAAGAATGCATTCGTAAGCTTACCCGTTTTAAAATTTTCACCTTATGCTTTACTGTATCATCTATAAATTTGTGTTTTTCATTTGTTGGGGTATGCTTTGATAAGCCAAGCTTTTCACACTCCATTGTTTTATCTTCACTATGAATTTCAATTTTAGCTTGGCTTTCCAAATTATCTGGATCTAATATTTCAGTCTTTTTATCTTCTTCAGCACAACATTTCACACACACATATTCTTTGTCTTCTTCTCCCATTTGTTGTGCTTGGGAAAGACTTAAGCCAACACAATCACCATGAAACCAGTCGTCACATCTCCCACAGCCAACCATAAACCTGGAAGTGGAAAAGAAACTTTGATTTGGTACAGATTTTTAAAAGCCAACAAATTTCCAACACTTCATTTTCTGAGATATTCTACATGTTTTTTAAGTCTATCCATTCCATAATTCAGCAAAGAGCAAGTTTTCAATGAAAATAATATTCCATACAAATGGAATTTTTAAGATTTTCAAATATTTCCTCTCTGATATGAACAAAACATAAAAAACAAAAATCAAACAAAACCCCACAGGGATGAAATAAAGGATAATGACCAAAGAACAGAATATTTCATTAACAAGATCTGTGATAACCTGATCATAATTCATCTAAGATATAATTACATTACCACACAGATGTGAAAATATAAACTTGGGGAGAATCATTTATCCAACATGATTGAGAAATTCACATTCAACTGAAGACTCTCTTATGTACTTTGTGAGTGAAGTACTACTGACTTTTTAGAAACTTGTTTTTCCAAATAAAGATCAGTATAATTTCTTAATGTGAAGACATTCAGTCTGAATTTTAAATTAGTAAAGTCCTACATAATGCTACAAAATTTCCCCTTAAAGCATTTTATCTGTTAACTTTACTAACATCACATTAGTAGACACAAGTGTTTTGACTCTAGAAAATGTTTTTCTTAGAGTACCTGGAATTATTTTTGAATGGCAAATTAGATATGAAATTGTAACTTAAGAATTCAGCATCTATTGTTAGAAAAATTACAAAGCTCATTTAAATGTTTAAGATTTTTCTTTCCTTTGGGTTAGCAATTAATGATTTGTTAAGTTTAAGGGAGTCCTGGTGTAGTGCTGTAGGAAAAACACTGGACTGCTAATCACAGGTTGGTGGATTCAAACCTACCAGCCACTCCCTGGAAGCCCTATACATGATTGCTATGTGTCAGGACCAACTCGATGGCACTTAGTTAACAACAAAAGATTAAAATGAAAGGGTTTAGGTATATGTATTCCTTGAAAACTTTGTATTGTCTTGATTTAGACAATACTGTATAAAGTGTCAGAATTATTCCTTTTAAAAGTGGTCCAGAAGTGAGGATGTCCAAGTACACTAGTGATATAGCAAGCTCTCCCTAAATATATGAGATAGATTTTAACAGTGCAACTATAAAAGTCAGAACACTGAGCTTAACCTTTAAAGAACTTCTTCATTCCTACAATTCATCATTCTTTACTCTTCCTGTGATATCTTTTTGCCATCTTTATAAATCCTTATCTCCCCCAATGATGCATTAAAAAAAAAAAAATCTCAGTATCTCTAACAAGTACAAAATGTTTTGGAACCTTGAGTCTTACAAATCTTCAAACAATGTCAATCTGTTTGCAAGACCAAATTGATTTCTCAAGGTTCGGAGGTATTTTTAATGGTTTCATGGTTCAATGAATGATACAACTCTTCCAGCCAACAGGAAAAAAATGCTTGAATTAGTGTAAGCTTAAAAGTGCTTCCATTTCAAGTTGTAAAGAACGCTATTTCTTGAAAGCAACTGTCAAATTTGAGTATCTTTGAAATACTGAAAGTTAATAGTCATTTCCATTTATCTCCCTAATCAAAGTTATAGTACCACTTCTTCAAACAAGTCTGAAAATCTCAGTAAAGAACTGCTTAATTAAAAACCTACAGTTTTTTGCCCCAAGCCCAAGTATTTCAAATTATACAGGGCATTTTAAGACTTTTAGCAAATTTTTGATCAGGAGAGTGGTTTTCTGAGTGTGAGATTTATCAAGTAATTACCACCATGCCTCATTTTGACATTGTCTTGTTTGAATTTAAGGTAATCGCTAGTACTATCTACAGATATGTCTTTACTATAGTTTAGTGTATGCAAGATAGAGCAGTTAAAACTTTGAGAAATCAAGACAAAAATGGTACTGATAAATTTTGCACTTCCTAGGGGATATATTACATCTTAAAATAAAAATTAATGTAACTGATGTACATAAGGATCATTTTTAGATGTAAAACTGAGGACTATGAACTTAATAAACCACTTTGAAGATTGCTGTTGTTCAGTGCTGTTGAGTCAGTTTTGACTCATAGCGACCCAAGGAGCAGGTGATGGGTTTGAACAGTCAACCTGGGGTTCACAATCTAGTGCTGATCCTACAGTGCCACATCAGGAATCCAATGGCCTATAAAGAAAAAGAAATTTTGCTTTCCATATTTCTCACAAATTAAAACCATATGGGTCATATAGTTGTTGCTGTTAAGTGCCATCAAGTCGGTTCCGACCCATAGCAATCCTGTATAGGGCTTTCTAGGAGCAGCTAGTGAGACTGACTCTCTGACCTTACGGTCCAGTACTTTATCCTACAGCACTAACAAAATTACTCTCCCACTTTCTAACTTGTCATTGGAATTTCTCACTATCGTAGACAAAAAAAATCAGGGAAAAGACTATAATCTGCATGCTAAATTCTTTTACTAAAATCTGTTGTGTGGAGTTTGCCTGTTGATCAATTAATTAAGACAGCAATATGAACCAGATGACTAAAGAGTTAAACCACATTTATGTTGTCTTCTCCTAGTGTTGTATGTTCACACACAATAAAAATCAAAATCTTGACCTAAGACTTCTATTAAGAGCTAATTTTAACATTCTAGTAAGGAGCTCTGGTAACATAGTTGTTACGAATCGGGCTGGGAATCGCAAGGTCAGCAGTTCGAAACTACCAGCTGTTCCACGGGAGAAAGATGAGGCTTTCTGCTCCCGTAAAGACTTACAGCCTCAGAAACCCTATACAGGGTCACTATGAGTCGGAACCAACTACACGGCACATAACAACAACAACAACAAAGTAAGATAGAAGGAGCTCTGGTAACGTAGTGGTTACGAATCGGGCTGCTAGCCTAAGGTCAGCAGTTAAAAACTACCAGTTCTGCAGGAGAAAATAGAGGCTTTCTGCTCCCATAAAGATTTATAGCCCCAGAACCATGGTCACTGAGTCAGAACCAACTCCACAGCATAACACCACCAGCACAGTAAGCTAAAAGCAACATTCAGAACTACTATTCTTAGTAATTTTGTATCACAAATTCATTTTGTAAGCTAACAATGTAGCTGTTACAAAACCTTCCATTTTTGTGTTTCCTTTCAGTAACAGTACAGGCCATGTAACCACTCAGTTTTCCAAGATGAACTGGTGCTGTATTTCACAGAAACATTAAATCTTTTTAGTGTTATTATCTAAATCTATGCTTTTATCAACACAACTCTTATATCCTGAGAACCAGAATCTATTTTATTTTCCTTCTTGTTTGAATATAAAACTGAGTCCCATTTTGCCAGGGAGCTTGATTTTCTTTTGTCAATGTAAAATAATATGCTAGTCAAGAATTGTACTGCAAACCAAAGATACACAAGGTCTTTTGAAAAGGTAGGGAAATAATAGAAATTATGAGGTAGATGATATGAAGGAAGGAGCCCCGGTAACATAGTGGATTATGAGCTGGGCTCCTAACCATGAGGTCAGCAGTTCGACTCTCTATCAGTCACTCTGAGGGGCAAAGATGAGGCTTTCTGTTCCTGTAAAGACTTACAGCCTCAGAAACCCTATACAGGGTCACTACGAGTTAGAACCAACTCGACGGCACACAGCTACCACCAATATGAAAAGGCAACTGGTGTGTCTCTAAAGTTCAAGGATAACATTACTTCAAAAAGTATATATTTAAATGAATATAAATGTCACTTTAATTTTTTTAAAGCTCATTATCAAAATAAAAAGAAGGAAAATAGCATGGCATGTAAATTTAAAGTCATATCTACTATCTTTCATGATTGACAGGTAAATACCTGCTTATGGTCAAATACCTTTTGGGGTCAGGTTATGAATGAGCCTATCTTACATAGTTAGAAGCACATACAAGGAAGTTAATTTCAGTTGTAATACATGTAAAATGCTAAAGAGTTAAAGCAGCTTTGCAGAAACAAAGCTGTAAGAAGTGCTAGGAAATATACCATATTAACAAATAACTTTCAAGGTGGGTAGTGCATGAGATGAAAGAGGATGAAAATTATTTCTGGATATTCCCTTCTTATCATATTCCCACACATGGATTAAACTATAAAAACTCCATGCTACATGTCAAGTGTATTTTTTTAGTAAATTTATATACAAGAACAATGTATTAAAGAGGTCGTGATGTACAGTTAATGTATAAAGAAAAAAAGCAATCAATTACTTAAGTTTCTTTATTCACAAAATAGAAATAATCTTATAAATGTTGCTTCCAAAACTGACCATTTTCAATAATTTTATCTATTACTTAGGTAAATTACAAAGCAGTAACTCAAATTTTCTACACACCTAACATTCTAAGTCATTTTCCAGATTGGAACCAAAAAAAAAATACAGATTTCATAGGAGTCAAACCAAAAACAGATGCTAGGTAAAAGATCAGGAGACATTAACACCTGCTCTTCATTTTAGGGAACATACTGATGTTGGTGAAATATATTAGAAATTCTGGGCAAAATCATGATAACTTGGCAATCAAAATCTGAGGGAGCTTCAAAAATTCATGGAAAAATGGAATTAGAAAATAGTTATATTTTCCCACAAACTTTTGGAAGCCCCTTGTAAAAATTTATTTACAAAAAGTGTGTGTTGCCGTGGGTTAATGCGCCAGACTGCAAAGCCGTTTGAACTGCAAGATTGGCAGTTCAAACTCACCAGCTGCTCTTCAGAAACCCTATACAGGGTCACTATGGTCAGAACCGACTCGACAGCACTTAACAACATAGAATAGCTTACTTAGCGTGGCTTTCAATCTATGTCAGTTTAATTTGGAAAGTAGTCACTTTAAGGGTCTTAACTCCATTTCTCTGACCAAATGTCAGTGTAATCGTTTTTAAAATTCAGGCAAAAAGGGCTGGCTTAGAAGAGCACTGAAAAGGACTTCAAGCCTTAGGTCAAGCCCCATGTTAGAATATTTGAATAAGCTGTTTTAAATTTTGGAATATGTTCTGTTATAAAGTAATTGGATACGAAAAATAAACTAAGGGCTAGATCACAAATAAAGAAATCCTTTGACAAAAAACTTCAGTTGTTTTTGACAGATAGCTCCACGCATCTCCCATCCATTCTCCCAAAGGCAACCCACCATCCAAAGAATGTTCTACAGCACTCTTGACAAAATTGTACCTTCCTAAACAGTTTCATTTTCATGTAATCTGAAAGTGCTTAGAGAAGTCACTGTAACTTTTACTTTCATGAGCAGAATGATATTATAGTGTACAAGTTATAATGTTCTTTTATCATATCAGTGTTGATAGAAGCTCCAACAGCATTTGAACACATGAACAGGATACTCTTGTAGCCGAAAATTTCACTTCAATTCTTGTTTCTCTTTTCTTAAAAAGCAAGCAAAAAAAAAAAAAAAAAAAAACACCCCAAAAAATACACTAGATAAGGGGATATGATAGAAACTGTCATAAACTACAAAACACAAAAAATCCGAAGGAAAAATGATAAAAGGTACCAACTAAAAGTCACTTCTAAAGTGTTTGAAGATTAGAATTAAAAAGAAATTCTTGAATAAGTAAATATTCAAAAATAAATACATGCTTTCACTCTGTTTTGTTCCATTTTATATACAAACTTCACTTGGGTAAGCTAACAATTGTCTTAGCTATAAAATTCCAAGGTCAGGTTTGACAGTTATAAAGTGGTGGCATTAAGTCATTTAAAAATAATAACTTTAAAATAAAAAGTTAATTTCCATTACGACCTTCACAATTTTATTACTAGTTCTTTTCAAGTCAAAAAATAATGATATATAACTCATAGACCTAAGGAAGTGACTTTTTTTTGTGTAGCAGATAGTTTTTGTTTTTTTCAGATGCAACAACTGAGTTTCACTCTCTACTGGTTTCAATGACAAAACATTTCCACATTTGATGGTCAAACTATGTTTTGTAAAATGTTCTACACAATGATATATTTGCAAATTCAGTGGCTCCACCTTTCTGCCATTTATCCAGGATTGATGAAAGTGGTGGAGAGGGGGGCTTGCAAATTTTTATATGTTAAATAATTTATTTTGTGTATAAAACAGTTCTCAAATTATTAACCCCACCCCAAAAAAGAAATTTTTCTTAAACGAACACATGTCACGCATATACACACACACACACCTGTTGCCATGTGGCTTTTTGCAAAAACCACACTGCTTGCTGGGAGTCCACATATATTTGCTTTCAAATGAGGAACTATGATCTGAGCCTTCTCTTTTTACAGTAGCTATGTTGTCTGGAATGAACAATGGTGGCTCATCCAAAGAAAAACTTTTACTACTCCTTCTTTGACGGGGCTGTAGATTCTTCTCATTTTTTTTCAGTTTCAGTTTATCCTCCTCCTTAAAATGCTCAACACTTGCTTGTTCAAGCTCTTCCTTCACATGACAATTGGTTTTCACTGCTAGGGCCTGCTGCTGGGGTTTATGGCACTGCTTTTGGCTGGAATGTAATAAATGCCCAGCTTGGGCCAGATGATGAGGCGGTTCTTTCGAACAAGCAGGGTAGCTATGAAGCTTATCACTCAAAGAATGAGTTAATGGTTTAGATATCTGTATGATATTTTGATCCTGTGATACTTTCTTAAATACCAAATGAGTTTCATTTTTCACCGATTTAACCCCAGAATTACTATTCTGAATCTTTAAATCTTTATTAACTTTCTTCCTCACTTTGACTGGCCTAATAAAATTCTGATGAGATTCCAGTTCATTAGCATTCCGTTTCACACTTTTAACATTAACTTTGTTTTTGTTATGTATTACTTCAAGCTTTGCTGCAACAATTTTCTTTGGCGCATCTGTGGTCAAATTTTGCTTTGAATGAACTGCAGGTTTCATGTGTTGAGATTTCATGATTTTTGGCTCTAAGTAAGAATTACTACTTGACTGGCTGTTTCTATCAACCTGAAGATTTGCTGTATCATGGGACTCCATTTTAATTGTTTCAACATGCTGTCTTGAATTGTGATCAGGAGCATCACATACACTTTCTAAAATATTACTTGCTGGTTCAAAATCAGTAGTATCAGCAATCCCTAAGTCTGATTTATTCAATTCAGTACTCTGTGACAGCTTATCATTAGACTCTGTGTCTTTACAATAACCCAGTGGTTCTATTTTATTTCTTAGAAGGAAATTATTGGCTTTATCAGAAACTTCCATAGTATTCTTTAATTCCAAATTACATTCAGATGCCTCATCAACAGAAGTAGACAAATCTACAAAGTTCTTTTCTGTATTATTTGGATTTGTACAAGCAGTACCGCCAGAGAGAGCAGCAGCAGAAGATACAGGTTCCTCAACAATTTGGTCACCTTCATGTGATGATTTTACTGCCCACTGTGATTCTTGTTCAATTTTTCCCTTTGCCTTAAATTCTTCAACAACAGTCTCATCCATTTTATCTGAACTGGAATAATTTTGCTCATGCTCTTCTTTATCTGAAAATTTAAATGGGCTGCTAACAGTCTTGATTTTACAATCCATCAGAGCTTCATTTTTCTTTTCTTCAATACTGACACAAGTATCTGAAAGAAGTGGACAACTTGATTCATGAGATGACACATTTCCTTCTCCCTTATTATTACACTTTTGTTGAGAATCTAGTTCAGCTTCATCCTTCATTTCCAAACAAGATGACACTGAAGAATGACTTGGAGACAGTGGTACTTCTGGCACCCCGTCGATTTGTCCAGTATGTCGGTTGCTCCTTTTTTCTTTATGATACTCAGGTTTCAGTGATGTACACACTTCTTCTTTAATCTGACACCTTTCTGGTTGTCTTACCCCTGCTTTAGGGGAAGATACAGTCTTCCCAGATGCTTTTTTTGTGCTACTTAAAGGTGTTGCATTTGAACGCTTGGCAATAGTGCTTTGTCGCAAACTTCTTACTTGTTCTATCACAAGGGAAAAAAAATAAATAAAAATAACTTAGCTATTTTATCACGTGTTTTTATTTTAACACAAATTAAGAGCATATCACTTCTTTATTCTGAGGTATATATTTTGCTCATTTCAATGAAAATGTACTGAATGTACTTAATCACACATGATAGTGATTGATATGTATGTTATATTTTGTATTTATCAGAGCTCTCTGAATTCTGTCAGGGGATTAAAACTCTATAAAACTCAGACTGGTAAATATCTTATTATGTTTTTAAACAAGAAAGTTTTCAACAAAGTAGGCTGGCATGAAATAAGTAAAAATAGTTTCTCTTACCATTAATACTAAGCAAAACTATCATACAGTTTTAGATATTAAATATTGCTAAATATATAAAAACAAATAAATGCAGTTACCCATAAAATCTAAACTAAAACCAGTGGGGATAAACAGGATCTGCATAGGTTTATAGGTACAGCTTCAAACTTTAAACTTTCTATGAATATGCTTCACTTCAGTCACCATTTTAGCATTCAAACTATTCCTCAAAGAAGTAAAAATGAAGTGTACACTAGACTACCACATACATATTACCACCCTCCCCCAAAATGCAACTACAAAGCTTTCAACCAAGAAAATGACCATCAGGAAAAATAGCAAAGTATGGAAATAATTAAACTTTCCATTGCTAACAACTCTCCTAATTGTCTATTAAATGTGTTTTCCCTCCTTTCCCTAACCTGACACATATAAGGAAGCCTCAAAAACTTAATAGAGAAATGGAATTAGAAGATAAAATGGAATTTTTCCAAAAAAAATTTTGAAGCCTCCTATTACTGAAAAGCAAAAAAGCAGAGCAAAAAGAAACTAGAAAAAAATAGACCCGAATAAAGCACAAAAATAGAAACATATATCTACAAACTAAAGTATAATTATGAAGTTGTACCAAGGCTATGCATTTCCAACATCCCTGAATCAATTCTACATTTCATATTATAAAATAAAAAAGTAAAAACGTCTACCTGTCAATGCAAAACCTATTATATGTTCTGAAACTAAGAACATTTTCTAGTTTTGTCATTTATTATTATGAGAAACTTCAAGTACAAACAATATTGTTTACTTGTAATGCTTAAAGTTCTAATCAATAGCATACCCTTTCACTCTTCAAAGGGCAATAAGCTATATGGCTGTCCCAATATCAGGGATACGTTCTAATTCCCCCAGAATTTAGGCCAGTATCTGGCCATTACATAAGTACTCAAGTTTTTTATAACATATGACCAGATAAAAGAAAATAACATTTTGAAAGTAACTAAAATGTAACTGAAAATTTGTTATCAATATTTACATTATTTTTAAGCTTTGGAGACAGTGCAATAATCCAAGGCTCTACTTTATTATTCTGTCCTTAAATAGAATGAAGACTATTTAACACCAATTTCCCAAGAGGTTGCTAAAATAACAGATGAACAGCATATTCAACTATTATTTCCAATAACCATTTATTAGTAAGCAAAGGATAATGTCGCTTTTTCTCTTCTATATATCAGCTGCATTAGTCAGAAGTCCAACTGCATGGGCTTAAAATGGTCACGCTATTTGTATACAATACTCACTCTATTCTTTTCATTTTGTAAAGTCACAAGTTGATTCAAAATGCATTTAAGTTTTTCATTTCTAAAAACTTCACTGCAGCTACGGATGTTAAGTGCTGTAAAGTCAATTCTGACTTACAGATCCTGTATAGGGTTTCAAGAAGAGGCTGGTGGGCTTGAAACGCAGAACTATGGTTAGCAGTCCAGCACTTATCCTACAGCACCACATCAGGACTCCTAAGCTAGAGTAAAGGGATCTTTTTTGAAAAGGCATATTTTCCAAAAACAAGAAAATAGTGACAAATTTTGAAAGTCAAACAAAAGATCTTCAAGAAGAAAATGATATGGGAGACACAAATGAAACAAACACAAAGGCAGGCCAAGTTGGACAACAACTAACATCACTAACACCACAGAAAGCTTGAAAGAATTTGCAAACTAGTGGCCCCAAATACTTCCAAAGTGGGGATAAAGGCAGGTGGTTAAATAAGAATAGATGAAAAGTTAAATTAAAGAGTAGTTAGATCTGTAAGTCCCCTCTTGCCCATTCTACCTATTGAATAACTTTCTAGTCCTAACTCAAGACTGGTAGAGTCCTGGTGTTGTGCTGTTAGTAAGCACTGGACCACAAGGTGGTTTGATCCAATCTGACAGCACTTAACAACAGCAACCCAAAACGGAATGCTTGGTCTCTAGAAAGACTAACACAGGGTTTCTAGCCTAGGGAATGTCAGGCACAGTTGAAAACGGCAGCAAAGTATACTGAAATTTATGCAATTAAGTGACTCTTATATACAGTCAACTGAGATGCCCCTATGACAGATTTCCTTAATGACTCCCAAAATGAGTAATTAATTACTGCTAATTTTAACAGACTTAAGGAGAATAACCTTTTTACTGACACTAGAGCTTCTCACCACTACCCATCCCCCAGCAAAAAAAAACAGTGCAATCAGATTATCATACTGTGAAGTTCATAGCTGACAAAGCCCAACCACACAATTGTTGTTGTTAACTGCCACTGAGTCAGTTCCAACCTGTAGCTACTCTGTTTAGGGTTTCTGAGTAACAGCTGGTGAGATTGAAACACCGACCTGTGGTTCAAACCAACTTTGCAGTCCAGTGCATTAACTCACAGCGCCACACCAGGACCCACAAATTTAGTCATTCCCACTAGTTTTAGTCCCTATCTTTAAACATGAGCTAACAAAAAATCATGCATTTTAGTAAAGTATTCAACATACTTTGCTAAAAGTATGTTAATACTTTGATGGTTAATTATGAAAACCAGCAAAGAGTTGGGTGGAAAAGTACAACATGGAGGAAAGAGAAACTATGAAAAGAGATTAAAAAAATTTTAAACACCATGACCATAAACATAAGAATTAGATATTGAATCCATGCAACAAGAAAAGGATGCTATTAAAAAAAAGAATCATTCTCAAAACAAACAAAAGAACATCTATAAATTCGAAATGCAAAAGCAGGTAGAAAGGTTGAAGAATAAAGATGATAACATTTGCTGAAAGGCTGACGAATAAATATGGTATGTAGGTTCAGCAAAAGAACCAAGTGATGCAAAATAGGCAAATAAAGAAAATGGGAGGGGCAAGTCCATGCTATTTGAATAACAGAAGTTCCAGAAAGCAAGAATTTAGAAGGAAAAGAATCATCAATGACATAATTCAAGAAATTTCCCTAGAACTGAACAATAATAGTTTTCAGACTGTAAGTACCTACTGAATACCCAACTTAATACAAAAAATACCACGCACTATCAAAATACTGAAGCTGAAGATACCAAAAACTTTCACAAAAATAGATAAAACACTCACAACAAAAGAAGAAAGGGAAAAAAAGAATGACACATTAGTTAGGAGAATGTAGACAGTAGACTATCTTCAAATTTCTGAAGGAAAATGATTTCCAAATTGAGTTTTATGTTCAATCAGACCATGATTCCAGTGTGAATACAGATTAAATACATTTGCAGACATGCAAAGTTTTAAAATTTTATCTCTGTGGTCTTTTCAGGAAGCTACTAAAGAAGGGATGCCAACATAATGAAGAAATAGAAAATATAATGAAAACAAAGTACACCACAGACCAAACTCCTCAGACGACCGGTAAAGGGAGATCCCTAGATAACTGCTTTGTATCAGATGGCTTATTAAGCTATCACCAATTCAGAATCAATCCATACCAGAAAAAAATCAGAAGGTTCCAAGAGATACTTCTTCAGAGAAACGAAATTGACAGAATAACCAATTTTTATACAAGCCTTTAGGGAAAATTCAGAAAACTCCTGGCAAAGGAGTTGAGGGGCAGTTACTACTATATGGTGGTGGTAGTGTGCCATGGAGTCGGTTCTGACTCACAGTGACCCTGTAAAGGATTTCCAAGGACGTAACTCTTTACGGGAGCAGATGGTCTCATCTTTCTCCCGTGGAATGGCTGGTAGTCAAACTGCTGACCTTGAGGTTAGCAGCCTGACTCATAACCACTACGCTACCAGAGCTCCTTTTACTACTATATGTATATATACGTGTGTGTGTGTGTGTGTGTGTGTGTGTGTATATATGTGTGTATATATATATATATACATATATATATATACATATATATGTATATATATATAAAAACATATAAATAAGCAAATGAAAATCAAAAGCGATTATCCAAACAGAAAAACAGTTTATTGTATGAATCATTGCAAAGTGCCAACTCAAGAGAGACTCTGTAAAGGGTTTCTGAATGTAAATCTTTGGGGGAGCAGAAAGCCTCATCTTTCTCCCACAGAGTAGTTAGTGACTTTGAACTGTCAACCTTGTGGTTTACAGTCCTGTGCTTACAGTATGGATCCACCATGCTTCCTCTAAGAGCATACACAGAAATAATACAAATAATTACTACTGACCTAATGAAAGTATATACTGGAAGATGAAAAAAATGGATTTTTGCAAGATTATAACAAGAGAAGAAAACAGAATGTTAAATCTTCACCATCAAGAGTAGGAAGTCAAAAGATCAATACCTAACCTACCTCAGAATAATAATAAAAAAAAAGTAGTAACATATGCATGTTACTTAAAAATAGAGGTAAATTTTAAACATTTAAACACACACACACAAATACGCAGCCAGAAGATTTACTAGTGGCTTCTTCTGAGAAAGGAAAAATGGGGGATAGGTATTGCAAACTGATTTATTTTTAACAAATCTTATACAACTAGTCCAATCTTCGTAATTTTTTTTAGTTTTAATAATAATGTTGAAATTAATTATACCAATGTATTGACACAATCTCAAAATGAATTACTGTCAATAATGTTCAGACAGCAAACATCAAGAAAATATGATCTCTACTTAGAAAGTGTACATCCTAACACATCTGTCCCTACACCTCTGATTTTCTAGCTGGACCTCCTCGGAGGGATTACCTTGTGCCATTAAACGAGGTGATTTTCTTGGTGATCTTACTGAATTTTCTTCTACTTTGTCCCTCAAATTCCTGTTAGGTAAAATCAGTTCTTCTTCATCAATGGTATCATTCACACTTTCTTTAACAACTCCTTCATCCATAATATCGTCAAGACCAACAACTAGGGGAAAAAAAAAAAAACACACACAACAAAAAAAAATTTACTTTTTTTAAATACTGGGAAAATATTAAGTATTTAAAGGTGGTATAGAAAATATTGTGAGTGAGACCACTTTAATGTAATAAATACAATGTTCTGAAAATCTAGGTCTATTTCTAACGTATGTGAGGATACTGTTACTACCAAGCTTCCAAATCAATTTAACTTTACAATTTCCTATTCATAAGGCAGCTAGCTGAAGGAAATATTAGCTATAATCTTTCTTGGTCAGATCTCAAATATCTCTCTCACTTATTATTTACTGTCTTTTTGTGAGTATCACAGGTGACCATATCTGGATTGCTCAATTATTCCAATTTTGGCTATACAAGTACAAAAGAGTTCATTATATCTTGCAAATCTTGTGATACTAGGTTCATGCTAGGACCAAAAAAATCTAGTTCAAACTGGGATCTTATTACTTGAGACTTCATGCTAAATGTGGATAGATTTAAGCACACACAAAAATAGAGAAATGAAAAGCAATGCAATTTCTCTCTCCTCCAAGTGCTGAGAAATATATTGTTGTGCCGTGGAGTCAGCTCTGACTCACAGTGACCCTACACAGAGTTTCTAAGGAGCGTCTGGTGGGTTTGAACTGCCAACCTTGTAATTAGCAATCCAGTGCTTATCACACAGTGCCACACCAAGACTCCCTGAGGAATATGGTAGGTGTTTAAATACCTTGTCTTCCTCAAAACAGAGACAGAGCAATTTAATTTAGTGGAGCGGGGGTGTGTGGGAGAGGGGGTGAGACACAGGGCAGGGAGGGTGTGAAAATGGGAGAAGGCTGGAAGAGAGTCTGAAACAACACTACATTATATATTGTCACTGGTTTTATTTCTATAAAAAACACATGTCACAAACTAACCAACATTTACAGCATTTCTAAAAGTACAATTGTATGAAATCTTGTGAAAAAAGAAAAGTATTTTGACTACAGGGCATTGATTCAAATCCCTACTACAGCAGTTGAGTAAAACATGGCTAGGCCACTTAACTTCTTTATAAGTCTATATCTAAAATGAAAATGACAGTATCTGTCCAACTTCACAGGACTCTTCTGAGGGTCAAATGAGAGGATGTACATAAACTCACTTTGTAAACCTTAGAGCACTATATAAATGTTAACTATTATCTTCATCCTAGGGATTATAAGGAATCTCAATAAGTGATTGATCTAATCCTAACTCTGTATCCAAGAACTTCATTTAATAAAGTTTAACTAGTTCAAGATAGTGGTGTATTCCTAAAATTTGAAAAGAACAAAATTCTTTATAAGCATACTTTCAACTGTACAATCTTTTTGGAGATCAATCTAGAAGTATCACAAAACTGATCACCCAATTTGACAAAGGCATAAATATAAAGCAGAGAAGGGAAATATGAATAAAACTATTGGCCAGAAAAGTATATTCCCTGTTAGTAATAAGAAAATAAATAAATGAAATGTGTATGTATGTATATTTAAACAAAGAAGAAATAGATGAAAATTATAACAGTACTTATTCTCTAAATAACCAGGAGCTCTGGTAGCGTAGTGGTTACGAATTGGGCTGCGAACCTTAAGGTCAGCGGTTCGAAACTACCAGCTGCTCCGCGGGAGAAAGATGAGGCTTTCTACTCCCGTAAAGATTTACACCCTCGGAAACCCTGTACAGGGTCGCTATGGGTCGGAACCGACTCGACGGCACTTAACAACAACAACAACAATTCTCTAAATAACACATATCTTTTTCTATTTTTCCTAATTACTTGCTATAAAACAGGTACCAGGGAAGACTAAATAACTAAGGCATTCTACTACATATGTAGTGTAAGAGGAAAATATGCTTTAGGAATCTTAATCAGGATTCATTTAAGACATAAATAGGAAAGAAAATGATGGGGAATTAAGTTAGAACACTATAATTAAGAATATTTATGTTGCCACAAACATTAACATTTTCACCATATTAGTTTTCAAAAACAATTCTCAATTCTATATAACAGCAAGTTGTTGTTAGGGTGTAGTCTTGTATATAAAGGCATATCTAGACAGTCCATGGTTTATGAATGTCCAACTTAGGTACATCCCATAGATATGAAGTAACCACTGTAAAGTCTATTATATTAAAAACTTGAGATACACTGTTGGTTTCTAACAACAAATGGGCACTACTTTGTAATGTACATCAAAACATTATTATTATTAGTGTATTATATTAAAAATGTCATATGCACCTGGAAGTGTTTCACTGATGATTTTTTATGAATAGAAAGGCACCTTATATACTATATAATAAGACAATCATTTGACTAACTGCTCTGATTATGTACAAATTCGACTTAAAGGCAGACTTAGGAAAGGAACTAGTTTCTAACCTGGGAACTGCTTTTAAACAATGTATGTATTACAAAGCTACATAGATGAAAATTAATTTTATTAAAAATGCATCATAATAATATCAGTATCTCTAGAGGGGAAGGTAGAAAAGTGTCTTGCTTTATAATCATCTTTATACTTTTCAACTGTTTTCCAATTTTTTGACAATGAGCATGTATTTTATATTGTGATGAAAGTTTGAGAAAAAACTATTTAAAACAGAAAAATAAAAGAGTTCAAGAAAAAAAGTAATAAAAACTGGATTAACAGTGTTTGTTGGCTCCAAGAAAAAGGTAATTTGCTATTGCAATGGCAGAATTAGCAGGATTTAGCATGCCAAATCCCGACAATTAACATGTCTTATCTTATTCCATTTCCTAGCGCATCTGACATAGTTGATCCCTCTCCCCTTCTTGAATCCCTTTATTATCACTTAACTTCTGGGATACTGCTCCTAACCAATCTCCTTTAATACATTCTCCTCTTCTTGCATACATCTACATACTGGTGGGCTCAAGGGTTCAAACTTCACTTTTTTTTTTTAATCTACAATCACTTCACCCTAGATGATCTACTTAAGCTTCAACTATACTCCAAAGACTTCCAAATACATGTATCTCCAGCAGCATGTTTTTCTCTGACCTCCAGAAGAGTTCAACTTAACATCTCCACTAAGTTGTCTAATAGATTATCTCAAACAAACTCACTGCCATAGTGTTGATTCCAACTCAGTGACTTTATAGGGCAGAGTATAACTATCCCCTTAAGACTTTCAAGGCTATAAATTGCTATAGAAAGAGACTGCCCCAACTGTCTCTGGTGGAGTGACTGATGGGTTTTCCATTAGCAGCCAATCATTTTAACCACTGCACCACCAAGGCTCCTTTCTCAAATATAACATAACCTAAATAAACACTAATTCCACCCACCACCACCACTCCTCACCCCTGACAAAAAAATAAAAAAAAAAGGCTACTACCAGGATATTCCCAGTAATTGGAACCTCCAATGGCTTACTTGTTTAAGCTGAAAACTCGAACCATCCTAACCCTTCTCTTCTCATATTCCACTTATTATATCCTGCTAGCACTGTCTTCAAAACATTTCATGCATCTGATGTTATCACCTCTGCAACTAACACTGTACTTCAAACCACCATCATCCCTCATCTATACTAAAAGAGTCTACTAGTGTCCTAGCTTCCTCTATTTCTACTCTGCCATCTCCCCTTATCATACAAGTCCTTCTAAAACATTAAGTTAGATCATGTTACCATTCTGTTCAAGACATTCCAAAGCCTTCCCAACATATTTAGAATTAAGCCTAAAATCCCAAGTAGGGTCTATAGGGTCCTATCTTTCTAACAAGCAAAGGTAAATGAGAATACTTTTCTCATCAATATTGGTAAAGTGACTAATCCCATACAAAGCACAGTACAGACCTCTCACATTTGCAAATCTGTGTTGGGAGAAGTACAGTTAGAATGCTCCTTAGAAGCCAGGATGGTGAGACTTCATCTCTCATACTTCTGATGTATAAGGAGGGATCAGTCCCTGGAGAAGGCCATCATGCTTGGTAAACTGGAGGGTCAGCAAAAGAGGAAGACCCCCAACAAGTGGAGCAGCAGCAATTGGCTCAAGCTTAACAATGATTAAAAAGATGGTGCCAGGACCCGGCAATGTTTCATTTTGTTGTGCATGAGGTTGCTATGAGTCAGAACTGACTTGACAGCACCTAACAACAACAACAACAACAACAATCTTACAGGAAGCACAAAGGCAAAAATCAATGTTATTTCCTCTATTATGAAAGTTGAGATTAAATATCTTAATTGAGGATAAAAATGAAAAATACAAATATTGATCTTTGAAGTGTCACAACCAAAAAGTTTAGGTATTTCTTTTATTTTTATTTTTTTAAGGTTTTTATTGTGGATTGAGTGAAAGTTTACAGGGCAGATCATTAGTTTTACATTCAACAAATTATATACCTGGTTTCATTACAATAATTATAATCCCCTCCACGTACCATCAGTTAACAGTACTTCTCTCTAAACACTCAGGCATATATAATAATTTATACCACCAAACGGCACATTCTGCAATTTGCCTCCTGGCCACCAGCTCTTAGTCCGTCCCTTCTTAGTCCATGAATCTAGAGTCCTCAGCTAGTCTCCCTCTCATATCCCCATCTCTGTCTCCATCTCTGATATCACTGCTTCTCTGGATAAGGTCTCACATCCACTTGTGCTCTTCTCATTTGATGGTCCTAGGGTCCTCTGTTTCTGGATTGTAAGGTAACTACTCCCCTGTTTTTGTTACAAAACTTCTACCTTTACAATTCTGACAGTCGCAATTAGTCATGATAACAATTACTCACTATTGAATCTTATCCCAGACCCACCTGGACAAGATGAAAACAATTCAGTGGGGACTCTTTCTTCCCCCACACACTCTTAAACTAAACTTCCTCTTGAAACCTTGTAAGCCTTTATCGTCCCTCATTTTAGGTAGTCAATGTCTAAGCTGCCCGTCCCTATCTACCCTGTGTATATACTTGATGTGATACTTGATGTGAAGACTCCTTCCCTCTCTCT